TTGAAAGAAAATGTTAAACCAATCTTTAAACCAAAGAGAAAAGTACCATTTTCAGCACTAGACACAATAAATGAGGAATTAGAAAGGTTGGAGAAAATTGGCGTAATTTCAAAAGTCGATTACTCGGATTGGGCGTCTCCAACTGTATATATAAAAAAGAAAAACCGAAAAATCAGAGTGTGTGCTGACTTTTCAACAGGCTTAAATGATTGTGTGAAAGACCATGCATACCCTCTACTGTCTCCGAAGGATATATTGACTAAATTAAATGGAGGTAGTGTTTTCAAAGTTGGACTTGTCAGGGGATTACCTTCAGGTTAAAGTCAGTGAAGAATGTTCAAAGTACCTGACAATAAACACGCATAAAGGGATTTTTAATCTAAATCGTCTTCCTTTTGGATTGAAGGTAGCCCCAAGCCTATTCCAGCAAATAATGGACACAATGTTGGCTGGTATGGAGTATGTAATCGCATATTTAGATGATATTTTGATCAAAAGTGAAAATGAAGTCCAACACAAAATGCATATTAGAGCAGTATTTCAGAGAATTGAGAAATACAGGTTCAAGCTGAGTGCTGAAAAATGTGAGTTCTTAAAGAAGATAAAATATTATGGGCAGATCATTAACAGTAAAGGAAGGAAACTGGATCCAGAAAGGGCTGAGGCTATAAAAAATATGCCAGCACCTGATAATGTGGCTAAACTCCAGGCTTTCTTGGGATTAGTAAGTTACTATAGCATTTATATCCCAAAAATGTATTATATGAGAGCTCCTTTAAACAATTTGGTGAAAAAGGGCACAAAGTGGATATGGTCGAAAGAATGCGAACAGGCTTTTAAAAAAATAAAAAGCAATCTATTAGCAGTCCTATCGTTAGCGCATTTCAACCTGAAGAGGAAAATCATTGTAGCAGCAGATGCCAGTAATGAGGGACTAGGTGCAGTATTGCTTCATAACTTCGAGGACAGATCTACAAAGCCAATATCACATGCTTTGAGAACGTTACTGCCCATGGAACGAAGTTACAGTCAAATCGAAAAAGAGAGTTTAGCAATAATCTATGCTGTAAAAAAATTTCACAGGTTTCTATACAGAAGAGAATTTATTCTGCAAACAGACTGCAAACCACTGTTAACAATATTTGGTTAAAAAAAAAAAGGTATACCAACTCACTACAGTGTTGTGTAATTTAAGCTAGGTCACACCGATGGGTTATCAAGATTGATACCTAAATATACGGAACCACTGGAAGAAACAGTGATAGCAGCACTAAGAGACAAAAGTGAATTGTCAGGTGTTATGCAACACAATTAGAGAACTACCAGTTACGCTAGAAGATATGAAAGAAGCACTGGTGAACGATGATTTCATTAAAAAAATGAAAAAGCAAGTCTGGTTGAACAAGACATCTAAAAAAGGAATTAGTGTGTCACCTTTTTCAATCTGTGGACATCATCACTATACACAGATAGAGTTGTAATGCTGGTTACTCTGCAAAAGAAAATTCTGAAAGAATTCCACACTGGCCATCCAGGGATTTCAAGAATGAAATCTCTAATGAGAGGCTATACTTATTGGCTGAGGATGGACCAAGACATAGAAAATTTGGTGAAACAGTACAGAGGATGTCAACTGGCAGCAAGGGATCCACCAGTAAAGATTCAACCATGGCCAAAGACAGATGTCCCATGGACTTGATTGCATATCGACTATGCAGGGCCAATAAATAGATCTTAGTACCTGATCATGGCGGACAGTTTCACTAAGTAGCCAGAAGTTGTTAAGTGCAGACATCCCACTGCAACAAATACAATAAACGCCTTTAATGAAATTGTTAGTCACTTTGGACTCCCTAAAACTTTAGTCAGCAACAACGGAACACAGTTTATGGGAAGAGAATTCAAGGAATTCTGTACATCATTGTCCATTGATCACATGACAATGCCAGTATATCATCCAAGATCAAATGGACAGGCAGAAAAATTTGTGGACACCTTTAAACGAGCATTGAAGAAAAACCAAGGCATGGACACAAATGAAAGAAGTATTCAGAAATTTTTGGCAGTATATAGAATCACACCAAACCCGAATACAACGTCAGGGTTATTGCCAGCAGAGTTAATTTTTGCGAGAAAAATATGTTCTGTGTTCAACTGGCTGTTGCCTAGTCTGGTGAAGAAAACTGCTAAAAAAGAAAACCAGATGACTAAAGCATATGCCAGGTGACAAACTTTTTTCAAGAACTTTAGGGCTGGAAAAATGTATTGGGAAGAAGAAATGATAACCAAAAGAATTGGACAGGTCATATATGACATAAAAGGGGAAAGATTTTGGTGCAAAAGACACTGGAATCAATTGAGACCCAGACACACTACAGAGGTCACGGAAAATACTGAAGAGATTCCAATGGAAGTCCTGTATGACACATTTGAAATTCCCATTCCAGTAAGTCAACATTCACCAATGGAGGTATCCCCGACCTCAAGGTCAGAGGTACCAGTGTGTCAAACACCACCACTGCAAGGAGGATTGAGGCAAAAAAGACTTAGGAAAAAAATCAATTGATTAAGTCCAGACCTTAAAAAGAGAAAATATTGAAGCTAAATTTCACGGGAAAATTTAGCTCATGGGGAGGTGATGCAATGAATATGCATACACCTGGGTTTCCCCTCACAGTAATATGATTGGCTGGTGTCAGCCATAAATACAGACTGATGTGGAGGTACATGAGAACACCTATTGGTTACACCTATTGTCTTCGCCTATTGCCTACCACTACAATGAGGACCAGTCCATTATGGTTACCTGCTAGGTTGTCCTATCCAGTTACAGTAGTCAACAACCACTTTGCTACTTTGAACAAATATATCCCTTTCTGGGACATATCAACTACTATAAAGAGTGATAACAGTGAACTTGAGAAATTTATTTTCCTGAAAAATATTCTATAAATCTCAACTAAGAGTAATCAATTCAATCAATAAATGCCAAATGTTGCCTGTATGCAAATGATTAATTATTACCATTGCCATTGCCAATAACTCTAGAGTTGATTTCTCTTTGCATTCAACTTATTTAACTGATTTTAAAGTAGACTTAGTAGATATTTTGTTTTGTTTTTTAGAACTTCTACTCAACTGAAAGGTAACACTTGTAAACCACTACTTTTTATATCTTTAAGAGGAACATTAAAGTCTTTACCGCTTATAAATGTTGCCATATATTTTAACCAATGCATAGTTTGATAGAACAGGTATTATTGTAAGTTGAGCCCTTGTGTCTTCTCATGCTAATGTTTTCCACTGACATAAAGTGGAAAGATTATATCCAATCAATTGCTAGGTCTGCTGCTAGGAAAGTTAGTCCACTATGCTATGTTACACAATTTTTCTTGCTAGATTCTATCTTACACCTTTATAAGTCTACTATTCATCCATACATTGAATATTGCTGTCACATTTGGTTTGATGCGTCTGTTATGTATTTAGAGATTCCTGATAAAATACAAAGAATAATCTGCAATGTTATTGATCCTGACCTGGTTTCTCAGCTTCAGTCACTTTCCCACTGCTGTAACATAGCCTCCCTGTGCCTTTTGTATAAATATTTTCATGTTAATTGTTCTGATGGGCTTTCCTGTTTGGTACCTAGGCTTTATAAATTTAATCAGAGTACTAGATTGGTAGCAAGGTCTTATCATTTTATCGTTGAAATGGCTACACATAACCATAAGTTCTATGCTAACAGTTTCTTCTCTCATACTCCTCACTTATAGAACTCTCTTCTGACTTCCTGCTTTTCAGTCAACTTTGATCTTCAAAAACGCAATGTCAGTCATTATCTTCTGTCTTCTTGATTCCTGTTCTTTTATCGTTCTCTCTCCTTAGTAAGGTTTTCTTTTTCTCATATGCTCTTGCACTCAACAACCCCTTGCATCAGTGACTTTATTGTCTTACTTGGAATGAAATCATTAAAATAAATCAAAACCCCATTGGTTATTATTTATTCCTAACTTCTCCAGTATTTGGTTTGTGACATCATTTACTATATAATACCAAAACTCCATTTTGCATTTAAAATTATAAAGTTAGCCTAGGTAGAAGTATTGGTAGTCTATGGAATCTGGATAACATTAGTGTTGTGGTGTCCTCCCTCTAAAGAGTCTATGTTGGACTCTTCTGCCTACTGTAAGATTAGTAGAAGAGAAAGCCTTGGGGGAACAGTCGAATAGATTGTTCATCTGTTGAACTCTCTGCCTTGAGCAGAGAGGAACCCGGACGAGGCTTTGCTGAAGCGCAAAGTTTCGTCCGGGAAGGTAGACAGGCCCTAAACCCAATTATACGGCTTCTAAGGCAATATTTTTGGCTGACCCTACAGTAAACTTGGCCTTGTGCCACATACATCCCTCATGGTGGTGATTGGGGGGGGGGGCTGTTAAATATTAACAGTCGAATAGATTGAATGCTGGGTCAACCGACACACACTCACTAGTCGGGTAATACTCTTCTGTTGTACTTACTGTTTAATATATGATATATCTGTAATGCTTGTTTTGTTATTTCTTTAACCATTTACTTGGTCACAACAATTAGCTTACCTCAACTTTGCATATAAGGCCATAAGATACATTTTGACACCCTTTTAAAGGGAAAAAGTTTGGGGAATGCCATATACCATCAAATATTATAGTTGAACTACTTTATATTTTTAGAACTAACTTTAATTGTAATTGGATTTGCAAGACACAACTAATATAAATTAAAGATGAAAATGTTAAAATACAAAGTGGTCATGTGATTTAACTTCCTATCCTATTTAAATTTCTCATATTTAAAGATAATATCTCTGCAATAGAATTGATTTTGATTATAGCTGTTATTAACTGTTTTTTTTTCTAGAAATTAAATTAATTATTATTTGTTAGTGAAATCCTGAATATAAAATTCAAAATCATGATCTGATCTTCTTCACTAAGCTCTTGATGTTTTCTCTGTTGTAGTTGATGCAAAAGACAATGAGTGTTGGTGATGCTGCATCACAGAGTTCAGAAGAATGGCTTCAAAACCATAACCTTCAAGTCTCACAACTGACCCTAAAGGATCTCCTGGATAAAGGAAAACTAACATGGTAACTAATAACCTTGTTTATCAGTTAATTGTAACACATAAAAGATGAAAGTTATTTGAAAGAAATCTTGTTAGTAATCAATACCCAATGATTAAACAAATGTAGCTGCTTTTGTTGATATTTTAATAGTAACATAATAACAACTGATATAAAATAATAAACTCTTTATTAATACATCTTGGATTCAGTATCACTGACAAGCAATATTTTTCTTATTTTTTTACTTAACTATTCTTCTTTCTTATGAGCAAATATAGAATGAAAGAATAATCTGTTAATATTTTATTAAGCGTCTTCAGCTATACATACATTTAGTTATTTTCAGCTAACATCTACAATTACAGTTTTTGTCCCAAACCATTAAGGTCTTGGATCTAGAAAATGGTTAAATCTGAAAGAGTTTAATGAAAATCTTAAACAAAAATTAAAACACATTCCTTGTGTATAGCTATAAGGAAAAAGCTGCTATTAATGATGATTGTGTTTTATTCATTCTTTTTTATATATAAGTACTAGAATACATTGGATTGTTTGTCTGTGTTCAGAGAACCGGCAATCTACACTCACCCCCACTCCACTCTTGGAGGAACCATGCATAAGTACTGATTTTTTTTTTTTTTTTTTTTTTTTACATTAAGGTTCACCCTGTACAAGGCTCAGGGGCCACTCAAGGTAGAGGGTTACATTAAGGGGTAGTTTATATAGATAGAAGGGGAAGATAATGGTTGACTCTAGATTTGAACAGGTTATGATTGTAGTGATTGGGGAAACATCTTTTTGAGCAGTCTGTTCCATAGGGCAGTAGTTCACAGAAAGTGTTTGAGTGGAACTTACTTCTCAATTATGGAATACAGAAGTAATGTGGGTGGTTTGCTACTATGTAAGTGGCATAGTGGGTTCTGGCGGTGAATGACAGACCTGTTGAAACCAGGAGATGCAGTTTGTCCAAGAGCTTTCCATGGTAGTAGCAATAGAGCAGTGAGAGACTTGCCACATCCTACCTGTAAGAGTGAGGTTGCAAGGTGGAAAATAATAATTCTCAAACAAGATGCTTTTGAATTCTATCAAGACTGAAAAGTAAAGGTCTGGGCATCTCCTGCCCAAATATAGCAACAGCACTCCATTTTTGGCCTGATTTGGCTCTTATAGAATTAGAAGATAACATGCTGACATCACTTGTTGAGAATTGAGATCGAATTCTTAACAGTGACTTTTTAATCAAACATGTATTAATAAAAGATTGATTTTGAAATATATTGTATAAAATATTTATATGTATATACATCTTAAAACCTTTTTAAAAACTGAAAGAATAAAAGAAATTTGGAGCAATATAATTTGGCAGTAAAGAATATTTTTACAAATAAGCAAGAAATGAAGAAGTTTTTTGTTAATTCAATTTACATCCATTCTGCATTTATGTCTTCTGTTTTAACCAAATCTTTCTTCTTCTCTTGAGGCTATTTGATAGTTATGAATACAAAATAGACTTTGGTATTATTGTAATGGAATGTCTCACACTCCCTATTGCCTATGTGGACTGACTATATCAGTAGATATATATAGTGTGCAAAGGATATACCTGGCGACTTGCTTCAGCAATTAGTTGGAGATTCGTCTCCAGCTAAGGTGGTCAAACTCTGTCTGAAGGCAGAGAGGAACCCAGATGAGGCTATGCCAAAGGGCAGAGTCTTGTCTGAGAGGGTAGACAGCTACCCGACCCCATTTATACGGGGTCTACATGGAATTTTTGCCCAAGCCTACGGGCTTGGATATCCCATATTAAATTCGGCCTTGTGCCACATCTGACCATGTGGGGCAGTTGGCAAATATCTTTACTTCAGCAATTAGTTGGAGATTCATCTCCAGCTGTGCTGGTCGAACTCTCTGCCTTCAGACAGAGAGGAACCCAGAAGAGGCTGTGCCAAATGGCAGAGTCTTGTCTGGGGTGGTAGACAGATACCCGACCCCATGTCTACGGCATCTACGGGGAATTTTTGCCTGAGCACAGGGGCTCCGTTTTGCCCCGTATTAAATAATGGCCTTGTGCCACATCCTGTCTTGGTGTGTGTGTGGGGAGGGGGACTAAATATTCTTGCTTCAGGAATTACTAGCTTGCTAACCGATTCCCTGTCTTTCAGTAGTATATTCTCTTTTTACAATAAACCTCTCTTTCTTTCATCTATGTCCGTGTTGCTCTTCCTTTCACTCAAGTACCACCTTTGTCTATTTGTAACCTCTTTTAAGGATACAACAGGTATTGACATTTATTTATTAAATTAATTTCATATATAGGCAGAGACACTTTAAAAGATCTTTGGTAATGTACAATTAAGTGAATAAACATTGAAATATTATAAAAAATTAATATTCTTATGTTAGCATTACCGTCATTCAAAATATTAGCAAAATCCTCTATACTGTTGCTTTAATCATCAAATATTCTGGAGTATGTAATAAATTCACTACATTTCAATCTGTCGAATTTATAAATGACATCTGCCTCCTTTCATGTTTTTATGCCTTCACACACACACACACACACACACACGTATATGTAATATAGTAACAACTTGTTATTAACTAGTAGAAGGATATGAACCTATTCTACTTTAGCGCTGAAAAACATTTATTTTGTTGTGATGGATGGTTACAAGCAAGAAGAGATGGAATGTGCTTATTTCATTACCACTATATATATATATATATATTACCACTATATATAAATGTGTGTGCGTGTGTGTGTGTGCGTGCAAATATACAGAAAAATAGGAAAGAACCATTAGGTAAATAATCCAAAGTTCTTTAGTATTTTTGTTTTTATTTTTAAAAAACAGTGCTCAATACACAAGTAGAGACTAAAATTATTAAATCATAAACATGAGTTAACGGTTTTTTGCCGACATCAACAAATTTTTGCCTTAAATAATTAGCTTAAAAAATATTAAAATTTCGTAGTCTACAAACACTTTCAATTAAAGCAATAGGCTTAAAAACTTAACCTAGTCATAAGATAAAAAAAACCTTTATGAAGTCGTCAAAAACACAAATTGTAGTTCAATACAACATATTTATATACAAACAACCCTTTTAGAAAAAAAATCTTTAGATATACAAATGCGAATTTAACATTGTAACAAAAATGCCAATTACTCTGTCGTTGAAATAGACCAGATGGTATGCGTCAAACGGATGTCATCATTCACTTGAAAAAAGGCACCCCAACCCTACCTTGACTTAATCTCTTTCCGAAAGTAACTAATATGTTGATACAATAGTTGTCAGTGAAAATGTAAACCCTTATGACTCTTATTAAAATAATTGATTTTGCCATTTCCATAGTAATTAATATTATGAATGTATATGCTTATAAAGCTCCGTGAATTTCTAGATTAGTTATTCCAAAATTCACTTGAGGATGAAACATAAAGCTGGATACTTTAATTCAATTTAATTTCTATAATTAAATTGAAGTTTTTAGCTTCTGCTTTTGAAACATGAGAACTCTTATGTAGCAATGGAATCATATTTTTTTTAAAATAATTATAATTTAGGTTCTACTTGTGTATTGAGCACTGTTTTTTAAAAATAAAAACAAAAATACTAAAGAACTTTGGATTATTAACCTAACAGTTCTTTCCTATTTTTCTATATATTTGCACACATATATTGGCTCCCAAATAAAGGTTGAGCACTCTGAACCTTTATTTCTAAAATAAGAATCTTAAAAATATGGAAAAAGTAAATTTCGGCATTTCTCTGAAAAACATTCCAAACACAAACAAACAAAATTATTTCGTGAAATTTATGCAAAAAAATAAGAAGGATGAGATGGAAAGCATTTTTCTTTCTTCAAGGGAATAACTTAGCAAGAAAAGAACATGAAGTTTATGACTTTAAAAGTAAAAAGGCAGCACCATTTAACAAAAAGTTATATGAATTTGAAATGGACTTATTCAATATAATTAAAAATATCTCCTTTCAGAAAAAGAAAAGCAACTTCTAAAAATCTCTAGACCAAATATTTAAAAGCATCAACAATAATAATAAAATACTTGTAAAGTCTGACAAAATGGGAAACTTCTACAAATTGACAGCAGACGACTACAACACCTTAATTTAAAAAAATTTAACAAGGACTTATAAAAAAGCTTATAATAACAACATAAACAATGGTAGATAATATTAACAGAACTAGTAAAATTATTACTGATAAATTAAAGATAAGCGATAGAGTAGGCAAACTTTCTGAAAAGGAATGCTACTTCACTCTTAAGGACCACAAACCAGATTTTGAGGAAAACCCTACTACTAGAATGGTAAACCCAATCCAACATCAGAAAGATAAGCAAAAGAATCCTAGAAAGGATTACTAGGCAAATTAAAAACCACCTTGGATTAACACTCTGGATTAATACCAAAGAAGTCATCAATTGGTTTACCAGTATCAACAAGCCTGACTGCACCCTAATACAGTTCGATACTGTGGATTATTACCAGTCAATATCAAGAGATCTATTCCTGACAAATTTTAGGCTGTACAGTCAGGTAGCATTTGATTCCTTTCTATTTCCTAAATTCTATGAGCAACTTCAGCATCTTAGAAACTCATTTTCAAATAATGTTTCAAAATTGCCAGAATCTCAATACTTATATAACATCTGAAACAAAAAGGTACAACTATAACATTGAGAATATCATACAATGTACAGGGGTGCACCAGGTATTTGAGAACACTCCATTAAATGAGGTATGAGTGGAAGTAATGAAGTAATGTTACACAGCATGCATCAAACTTTAACATTATGGAACATATGGGTATTTACCTATACCTCCCTGCCCCCACTGAAGTAAGATGTGACCAAGGTCAGTTATTTATAGTCAGGTCATAGGTCAAAATTTACCCAGACCCCACTTACGCAAGATCAGGAACAAAGCTTGTCTTAGCTGGTCATGGCTGCAGAACAGATACTACACTTTAATTGTAGTCATCTGGGCTAAGAAACGTATGGGTATTTATCCATGACTCCTCCACTAGGGTGGTATGCGACTTAATGTCAGTTATTTAATGTGGGGAACCCAAGTATGTATGCTTGGGTCATAAGTCAATATTTACCCAGCCCCTGTTTACATGGGATCAGGCACAAAATTTGTCTTAGCTGGTCATGTCTGTAGAACAGATACTACACTTGACCATTTTATATCCTGCACAAGTCTTACAACAATGCTGGTTAATCTTTTTCTTCCAGTTGTTTTTAAAAAATGTGGGAGTGTCAACAGAATACAACATTATATTGCATTAGGTCCTTTTACATTTACAACCTGCTAAATATGTGTTCTCAAATACCTGGAAAAACTTTGTGTGTGTAGGCATATATATATATATATATATATATATACACATATGTAACAACATAATTATTATCTATAGTAATTAATTTGAAGACAATTATATTGTCAAAGCAAAACAGGAAGTTGCTGAGCCCCAATGATCAAAGTTCAAAGCTTTAATACTGAAATTGACAATATGTCAATTGAATTATTCCATCAACTTCCCTTATAATTTTTTTTCTCATGCTAATATCAGTGTAAATAATGTCTCTTTGTAATATTCTTTAGATATGCATACAAACAACTCAACATAGAATGTGTTTTTGCTATGTTTGTTTTGGCAACAGGTTGGACTATGAAAATGAATCCCAGAAACGAGTATCAAAAAACTTGGCAGTAATTTATGAACTCCCAAACATTACCTTTTCAAGAATATTTTCCAGTTTGCATATTAAAAAACAAATGTTTCAAAATGTGTTTTTAGTGAACTGTACCAACAAGCCATTACCACTAAAGATAATGACTGTTATTAATTTATTAACAAAAGTGGCTTACGGTCATATCATGTTGAAACACCAATTCTCATACGATCACCGAAGTTAAGCAACATTAACTAGTCAGTACTTAGTTTGGGAATACCAGGTTCTGTAAGTTTGGATGTGCAAGTGGTGTAATGGATTACAGCTCAGAATTAGAAATTGGAGAGCCAAGTTCCAATCTCAGTCAGGTTCATTATATTCACTTATCTGCAAATACCCTTAGGAAGGGTATGAATCCACTTCTTCTTCACCCTCAACTATGGGTTAATTAGTAGGACTTGTACTAGTAAATCATTATTATCTCAAAAACATTTTTACAATCTAAAAATATTTTGTGGCTTTAAATATTCTCCAAAAGGCTGATAAGCAGCAAAAACAAATCAAATTAAATATGAACAAAAACCAAAAGATATAAAGTCAGAAGGTTAGAGTTATGAGATAGACACACTTTAGATAAATGCAATGCTCCTATTTCCATCTGAAGGATAAAGAAACTACTACTACTGATTCTGAAAGATTTCATTAAGAAACCTCAAGTTTAAAATTCTATTTAACTTTACTACAACAGAGTTCAGTGCAGTATATCAATATGTGACTGAAATTCACCAATGTCTTTCAGTGTAATGAAAACTTGTAAATAAAGTAAATCTTTGGATAGTCTATATTGGTGGGTAACTGAATTACAAAATGGAAAAAATCCTGTTACATTTTTTGTTCCTTCCAACAATAAAAAACATTTGTCTGAAGAAGTCCTTAAAAGGTTCGTAATGTATAATAGGATATTTTTCAAATATTTGAGCTTAATAACATTAAGAAAATATTGCAATAACACTCATAAACATGAATACAAGTCATTATTTTAAGAAGTGGATACAAATGAAGATTTGAAATTGACAGCTTTTTTCCATTTCACTAAAACAGTACTTTAACACTTCTATCTTCCTTCCTTTTTTTTTTTCATTTTCTAACTGAAAGCAAGTAGTGACTTTTCCCTCTTCCCATGCAATCAAAAAATGGAATAGTCCATTAATCATCAGGTATTGGCAGGACACAATGATCATGTGATCTAACAAAGGGAGGGGCCAGCACAATTATAATAGGAATAGGCATTTCTTGAAGGAACTGAAACATTACTAATTCTATTGATTTGATTGTCCTCAAATGAACACTTCTGACCACTTCTTTTCAGTTATTTCTCTCATCCTTAGCTCTATCCAGTTCTTCCATTCTAATTCTGATGTTGTCTGAATTGTTTAATGGAGGTTCCTAATAGCCTACCTCTTGATGATTTCCCATAACTTTAAGATCACAAAATTTGGTAGTTGAATTTATTACTTTTTCTACAATTGACACTGGTTCAGCAATGTTAACACAATAAGCGCTAATTACTATATTGTAACAGTAGTATTATAAAAACACAATAAATGAATATGAAACGCCAATGTCTGCGAGTTGCTATTACTACTACTACTACTGTTTCAAAACTGTAACTATTCATAAACTGTTTTCATATGTTAATTATAATGTTTAACAAACACATCAGATAATTTTGGTACATTAATGACTTTTGAGTGGTAAGTAATTACAAGAACTGTGATTACTAATACTGCTATAATCTACTACAAACATAGACCATCAACAGCCAATTAAATATTAATGAGGTATTTCTAGAAAAAAATATGGCCATATTAAAAGGAACTAAGACTTGAAAAAACAGAAATCAGCCATACCTAAACTAAATAGGAGATAAATTCAGATTTAATTGACTTGTTTATAAATGAATTAAAATATATTTTGAAATGTAAAAATCTTTGTATATTAATAAAATGAAAAAGTTAATTTTTTTAGTTGGTATTCAAAGCCATTTTGAACTTCTTTTGTTTTTTACTAATAGTAATGGCAGACATCTTTTTCATCAAAAACATTATTTACACAATGTTAGATTTTTATTGTGCAAGTCAATGTCCTTTCAATGAAATTGGTGTCTACCAACTGATCCTTGGAAATTTTTCAAGATATATTTATATGATAAATATACTTTCATTTATTATGTTACTTTCGTTTTATAATATTTGCTTTTATTCGAAATATTTACAATAACTTCTTTGATGATATGAGATTTTATTATGCATCTTGAATATTGTTCATCATATTGGAAATATATATATATATATATATATATATATATATATATATATATATATATATAGTTATTGATATTTTTTAATTTCAGAATATATAAAGATTACCATGGTTTGTAAGAAAAACATAACCTCAAAAGAGAAACAAAACTTATTGAGTGATGGGAACAAAGCATTGGAAATTAAAAAAAAGAAAAATGAACATAGAACAATCAAAAATGTGATTGAAAATAGTGGCAAAATAAGAACAAAAAATTAAATATTGCAACAAGTGATTTAAGCATAATAAACAAGAAAAATAAGTTGACAGCAAGAAAAATTTTGGTGTTGTAGATGTAAACATAAAAGATGCAGAATATTATTAGGAAGATTGGCTAAAGACATGAAAGCAGCCAAACTACCACCTTTAAGTCAATATCATAATGAGGAATGTGTAAATTGGGTAGAGAAGTACATAAAAACTGATTTTTTTGGTTAGCATTGTAGGCAATAAAATTATAGGTTTCTCCAAAGCTAATTGTATCTAGATTAATGAAGAGAATTAGTATAAGTTCTTGGACAAGATGTTTTTTGTGTGCTAAATGTCACAGCCAAGAATGTTTAAGCTAAAAAGTATATTCATGCAAGCCAATGCTCCTTCAAATTCTGCAAAGTTGACTGTTGTTCCCTTTATCAAAAAAAAAAAAAAGGTTTCAAAGACACCAAATTAATAGAATGGTCTCTACCCTTTGCCATAGAAAACTTGTGATCTATCATTAAAAGAGATACATATGAAAATAGATATTCAAACAAAGATTTCTGTTAACTAATATTGTTTTTTTTTTTTTTTATAGTTTATCAACCTTTTGCAAGTTATTTAAAACCCAAAATTATTTTTAGATTGTAAGACTATTTTTGGAGATAATAAGAATTCTACTAATTAAATATTTGCAAATAAATAAATAAAATAAACCCAACTAGACTTGGAACTTGGCTTTCCGATTTCCAATTCCCAGCCATTATCCATTACACTACTTGCACATCTAAGATTACAGCACCTGGTATTTCCAAGTTGTCACCCATCTAGGTACTGACCAGTCTCAATATTGCTTAACTTTGGTGCTCTTATGAGAACCAATGTTTTATGTTAAGTAAAAAAATTAATGCAAATAATGTTAAAGTTGAAACAAGAAAAGTTAAAATCAATGAATAAGAAAGTGCTGAATTTTGTGAAATGTCAAAGAGTTCATATTAACATGTAAAATAATAAAACATTAATTTATTTACATACACAATGTTGTTTCAATCAATTATGTTTCTATGACCTACAACTTTTAGATTTATTTATGAATAAAAATATATGCTGAAATTAGTTTGTTTACATAATAAAAACAAACAGTTCCTACCACTACCACAAAATGAGTTATCTTACTTATTATAAAATGCAGATTGTGTGTGTGTGTGTGTGTGTGTACATTTATATATTAGATCGGATTTCCTACATTTTTCAACCGATTTCAACAAAACTTCACAGGACTATGTAAAATTACCTTGCAGTGGTTCTGACAGCGCCAAAAATTGGAAAAACACAATTGTTTTTGCACAAAATCAATTTGAAAACACGATTAAGAGGCATTAATGAAAGGGGGACAACTCATATCGAGTTATACTTATTAATATCGAGTTATCGAGTTATACTTATTATAAAACTCAGGTTGGTTGCTTGCGTGTGTGTGTGTGTTCATTTATATATGGGATCGGATTTCCTACATTTTTCAACCGATTTCAACAAAACTTCACTTTTTTTTTGGCAGGTAGTGTTTCTTATTATCTTGCACACTTTTTCTTTATTTTTACATTCAGAATGCTTTAAAAATTCCATTTACAAGACAATTGTTTATAATAAAATTCTATTCAATCGATAGACTCATAACGATTGAAAACAATGTTTTTGTTTGGGTTTGACCATTTCGTAAAAAAAAAAAAAAAAAAACGAAACAAAAAAATAAAACTAATTAAGACATGCATGTCTGTCAACCTTAAACAATAATCTTTGTCAATTTTATTTTTCAGTCTATTTGATGGTCGGTACTTGATACTATCTCTTACTGTTACATCCCCGGCAACGCCGGGCTCTACTGCTAGTCAACAATATTTATAATAAGGAAGTATATGTTAAGCTAAAAGTTGCACAATACATTTATCATATATTTAAAACTATATACTGAAAATTCTAACAACATTGATTGGTTAATATCAATTTTTTGGTGAAAATATCGACATACATAATAAAAATTGACATGATATTTTATTCATACTCTTTTGACAATGATTGTTCATTAACAGGAGTTGTATTTAAATTCCTTTCATGTGAAATGTGATCTGCTATTTTACAATGTTCCTTATATGCATTGAATATGCTAGCCTCATTTTGAATGGAATGTTTATCTCTCTCTGGTATAAGATATATTTAACTGCATTTGTCAGATGTTGTACTCGGAAATAAGGTAATTTTCTTCACAATTTTTACTTGTTTCTATTTTTTCAGGCCCAAAGCAGAAACATCCATTGGGACAGCGTCTTACCAAATCCAGTTCGATTCATATGATCTCAATGAGTTTGAATACCAACTCAACAAGTGAGTTAAATCTTCCAAATTACTTGTTTATTATGAATTATAAATATAAACACATTTATCAAAACAAGCCTGGTTTGGTAATGTATATCTGCATAATGATTTTAATGTAGAATCATTTTTGTGGTCACTTTGTGTAAGCAACATCACTTGATCAAAAAATCAATTCATGGAGGAAAGGAGTGGGGTAATATTTTATCATGCTGCTTTAAAAAAACAAAAATAACCTAAAAAAACAACACGAAAAGAGAGAAGACAAGACTTGAAATCAATAAAAAATCTACATTTGATATTTAATTAATCAGTACATATCATCTGATATTTAGGTTAATAATTACTATTGAAATTTTATGTCACATGACACTGAAAAACCTTTCCCATAGTGTGAAAGAGTGACTGGGTATGGTGCATCTATACTTGCCTAGTATACATATTAGGTTGATACAAAAGTTGTTTTTTTTTTTCATATAAATTCATAATCATCAAAGTATTTTCTCTGAATTTTTATGATCTTATACCATATTTAAGGAAATTGTCTAGACTGTGATACCCCCCCCCAAGTAATTCTGGTTTTGATTCATTGAATTCTTTAATTATTTTTTTGTCCTCTTATATTTGTTAAACTGCCAACTACACAAGCAATCTTCTATAGAGAAAAACAAGTGATAGCATGAAAGTGACAAGTCTAGAGAATACAGTCTGCATTAAAACATCACATCCCAAATTTAGAGTTCAAATGCTGCTTCTTGGGTGAGTGCTGTTATTGGATACAGAAAAAGTGTTGTGATCAGAAAGTGATCTTGTTGAAAAATTATGGATGACAAAAAGCAATTGAAGGAATTAGTCTGGTTTATTCATGTGCTTCAACAGTAAGACAAGGACAGAAGCTATGAGATTTTGGAAATGGAAAACAGTGAAGTGTCAAATAGGGCTCTTCTTAGAACTTACTGGAATGGACTTGGCTAGCAGGCAAAATGATTTTGCTTTTATGAAGCTTGAAATCTTTCCTCTTTGATTAGAAAAAGTCATGAATCACAACTCCCAGCCCACATTCTCCCCCCCCCCGGCGACCAAAATATTTTGGTCAAGACAGATCAAAGATAGATAAGAGGGCTATCCCAAAGTGTTTTGAGCTGTTATACCCAATTAACGAGTCTTTCTTTCACACTCAGTTCATTTAATTAGCAGCATCATATATTGTTACAGCTTTCTATGAATTCATTTTCCACAACATTACTGAAAAATAGTTTTGTATAAATAGCAGAAAATATGTTCTTTGTGCTGGATTTGGCTTCACATCATTTGGTACAGGAATTGATGCAAAGTTTTTGTTTAAATTTTACAAATTTTGCTTCCCCACATTGTACGGACTTTTTTTTGTTGGTTTTTTTTTTTTTTTGGTTTTTTGCTTGTTTTCAAGTTTTTATAAGATAAATGGACAGAGAATTATTTTTGTTATGGTGGGAATTTTGTGGTACAGAAAGATAAGAATTAAATGAACAGCAATAAAATAAGCAGATTTGAAAGGAAAAGCATAGTATAAAATATTTTAACTATTTCAGTTCTACTGAGTTAGTGTCCAATTCCATTTCCTGTTTTATGACTTGTATCTGGTTTATTTGACAGATGAAAGGTCAACCTGCTTATCACTATGTGAGGATATTTTCATAAGTCTGGGTTTTTTTTTGTCCTTTGTGAAATTTTGGCCAAGAGATTTTGTTAAGTATGAAAAGAGAAGTATTTAATAACAATTAGTTCACTTGATTGTACAAATAGCTGTACAGGAATAGACAAAATGAAAAAATGTAAGGAGAATCTTCAGTATTTCCAGGAAAAATTGAGGTATATATCCCAGCAATTATATGTAATGTCATGTTAGTGATGTCTTATAAGAATACAAGATCTTGTTAAGTAAAATAAATGTTTATCCACTACTAGATACCATTAAATTAACATTGACCATGTAGGGACTTTTTTCAAACACTTGGTTGGTCTTCTGAGGATATGAAGGACTCTATCCTCCCCCTCATGAGTCAGATATTTAACTTTCTGTCATCCAGTTGTTTTGTGTGTGTGTATTTGAGTTTCAGCTGGTTGAATAATTTTCTATGGCTTATCAACCTTTTGCAGGTTATTTAAAGCCAGAAAATATTTTTTTAGACATTTTTTTTAGATAATAATGATTTAGTGATACACGTATTACTAATTAATCCATAGCCGGGGAGGAGAAGTGGATTCATACCTTTCCAAAGGACATTTGTGTGTAAGTGAATATAATGAACCCAACTGGAATTGGAACTTGACTGGCCAATTAACAATTCCGAACCATTATCATTACATCACCCACACATCCAAGCTTACAACATGTGGTATTCCCAGATGGTCACCCATCTAGGTACTGACCAGGATCAATGTTTGCTTAACTTAGGTGATCATATAAAAACCAGTATTTCAATGTGTTGTTATCAAAAGCCCAAAGTTCAGCTGGGTTCAATTCCTGTTTATGTCAACACACCAAACATCCTTTGAGGATTGATTCTGCACTTGGTGATCATGAGTTGGAAAAGTTAATACACTCAGTATATCCTGTGAGTATTAATTTTCCCAAACCTTCTTTCCCCATAATATTCCAGAAATTTAAACTCTTGCTGATTTTAAGTATAAGTGTCAGAGATGATATCACTTCAACCAAAGTGAGGAAGGCACTGCAGTTAACATGGTCAAATTGTAATGATGCTTTATTTTTTGTTCATCCTCTCTTTCTTTCTCTTGTCCCATCCAATGTTCTGAATTACTGATAGGAAAAATATATCATTTATTTTTATTAAATCACTATTTTGCTACTGAGTTATTTTCCATGTCAACGAGTACATTCTCTGTGATTGTAAAAATAAATTTCTAACACTGCAAAATAAAAACATTGTATAAGAAATTAACTAGCTTCAGCAATCATACTCAAAATGCATGTTTTGAAAAGAGGTTATTAAGTGCAATAACTTGAAGTTTGCCTTTGATCAAAGAATAGAAACATCTATATTTATAAGAGAAGGACAAATGATATGGAAAGAGTTATATGGATAAAGAGAGAATGAAAGAAGAAAAAGACAGAAAGTAAATGTGAAAGTGAAAAAGAGGACGGAAAAGAAGAAGAAGAAAGAAAGAAAGAAAGAAAGAAATGGTAAGAATAGTCAAAGATGAAATAATGGAAAAAAATAAGAAAATTAGAATGTAAGGAAAATTAGAACAAAGGAAGGGAAGATAAAAATGAAAAGAAAAAAAAGAAACATGGATGAATGGGGACTGGTGATGTAATAATTTGCTTTCTGTTTGTCATCATGTTCGTATTAGCTGTGTCATCTTAAGGGAATTAAATCTTCTATTTGTTCTATATTAAGGATCATGTGCACAGCTGTGAATTCCAGGCTTGTCTTGTTTGCAGATATTAAAAGAGGAGAGTTGCATATATTGATAAGTAATAGATAAATGTTCATATACACAAAAGCGGAGTGAATCCATCTAAATTCATATGTATAAAAAATTGTACTGAATATTTTACACAACAGTATTTGCTTTTAATATTTACCTGCTCAATGTTAATTATTTTCCAGAATGATTAATTCAATGTGTGAGGTATTTTATCAAAATGCTACTGGAATTAAGCATTTCCAGTGTGTGCCCTCCCATCTCCATAATTATTTTAATGTCAAGATGTCATGATCTATTTCATTAAGAAACCTCAAGTTTAAAATTCTATTTAACTTTACTACAACAGAGTTCAGTGCAGTATATCAATATGTGACTGAAATTCACCAATGTCTTTCAGTGTAATGAAAACTTGTAAATAAAGTAAATCTTTGGATAGTCTATATTGGTGGGTAACTGAATTACAAAATGGAAAAAATCCTGTTACATTTTTTGTTCCTTCCAACAATAAAAACATTTGTCTGAAGAAGTCCTTAAAAGGTTCGTAATGTATAATAGGATATTTTTCAAATATTTGAGCTTAATAACATTAAGAAAATATTGCAATAACACTCATAAACATGAATACAAGTCATTATTTTAAGAAGTGGATACAAATGAAGATTTGAAATTGACAGCTTTTTCCATTTCACTAAAACAGTACTTTAACACTTCTATCTTCCTTCCTTTCTTTTTTTCATTTTCTAACTGAAAGCAAGTAGTGACTTTTCCCCTCTTCCCATGCAATCAAAATGGAATAGTCCATTAATCATCAGGTATTGGCAGGACACAATGATCATGTGATCTAACAAAGGGAGGGGCTAGCACAATTATAATAGGAATAGGCATTTCTTGAAGGAACTGAAACATTACTAATTCTATTGATTTGATTGTCCTCAAATGAACACTTCTGACCACTTCTTTTCAGTTATTTCTCTCATCCTTAGCTCTATCCAGTTCTTCCATTCTAATTCTGATGTTGTCTGAATTGTTTAATGGAGGTTCCTAATAGCCTACCTCTTGATGATTTCCCATAACTTTAAGATCACAAAATTTGGTAGTTGAATTTATTACTTTTTCTACAATTGACACTGGTTCAGCAACGTTAACACAATAAGCGCTAATTACTATATTGTAACAGTAGTATTATAAAAACACAATAAATGAATATGAAACTCCAATGTCTGTGAGTTGCTATTAATACTACTACTACTGAATTGTTTAATGAAGGTTCCTAATAGCCTACCTCTTGATGATTTCCCATGATTTGGATCCCACAGTATAAACTGATCCTCAACTTGTGTATTTCGCCAGTAATGGCCACTAAACCATACTCACCTTTTACAGATTATGATCATAATTTTTGGTGGGTTCGCATATAGTTTTTCACTAGATTCATTTGTTTGCAGCTGTCACTTAGCACTGTTCTTAATAGTCAAATGTACATATCATCTAATTTTTTGGCTAGTAATTTAATTTTCTCACTATTATTTAAGAAAAAAATGAAAATCTTTTCTCACACACACAGGAACTCTGATGAG